AGGGACCGGCGGGGCTCTCCGTGGCCACCCAGGCTCGCCCTCAAGAGGCCTTGCAATGTTAGCCGAGAAGCCAACGGAGTCCTGTCTGGTTTCCTTCCATAATGTGAGCGCTATGGGACGAGGCAAGCCGAGATAGCTCGCGGGAGATGATGAACGAAAGTCGCAGGTCATCCTCACCTTTTTCTGGTGATCAGTTTCACACATATATTCTCTGTGGCGCCAGGAAGCGCTTCTTTCCGTCAGTCTAGACTACCCTCCCAATCAACTTCAATGAGTGATACCCCAGTTCCGGGGGCGGAGAGGGGGAATCATCATCATCACCAGCAAGGTATTTAGTTGTATGCTGCTTCTCCAGTACTGAAACAGTCCTCAAAGTGGCCTACAGCAACATCTGAACAGTCAGATAATGGAAAACAATAATACATCAATATAATTCAGCGATTACAGCTCAGGCTGAACCTATGGAAAAAGATTAAATAATCTGCTAATAACCCACAGGGAGTCTAACAATAAAGAAATGCCCAAGGGAAAGAGGAGAACAACTCCAGATAGCAGTGAAATGTAATGTGTTTTTTTTCTCTCGCTCCCAAATTAAGAAGATCCTGTTCTCATAATCACTGAGTACCTGGAGAAACCACCTTTAGAGCAGGAGCAGTTCAGGACCCGACCCTCTCAGTATCACTAGAGGTGGACCAAGAAGAGAAGAAGGGAGTAGGTCTCTAAACCAGCCATCCTCAACCTACAAGTGCATTGAGCTATACTTTGTTAATTCCCCAATCAAGTGGCTATGCTGGCTGAGGGTAACAGATAATAGGGTTGGCCCAACACATTCTGCTCCCTGAGCACACCTGGCGCTCTTCTAAACTCATGCTGCACTGCATAAAGCCAACAAAATCAATAAGTCACAAAGTAGAATATCTCACACACTGTCCTAAATTGATTTGTACTTATTTTGTTTATATTTTCAGGATATATTTTCTATCACAATTCCAGAAGCTCTGTTTGCAACCCCTCTCAAAAAAACCAAAAAAACAAAAAAACAGTATAAAGTCTTCTTTCAACTAATTAGTTGAAAATCCACTATGTAATGGTTTAAGATAAGGGTGGCTTTGGCGTTCCATCTCTTTTGTAGATCCAGTGAAGGACAAGCCCATTAATATTCTGAAGGATACTACGCTTTTTCTTAAAGGGATGTGAAAGTTTTGTTTTTTGAGTGAAACTTTTCAGTCAAGATAGATCCTTAGCAAGTGTGAGAAACAAAACAACTGTCCCCGGAAATTTCAAACCAAGCCCTCTTTTCCTTGTTCAGGAAGTGCCATCTTTCCAATTCCCCAGGGATTCCTGGAGGTGTTAAGTCATTGTTTTCTTTCCAGCAGCTACACACAAGGCCTTAGACATCCACATCCACAGAGCCGTGGGGCTATGCCAAGGGGAGCCTGTTTTGCAAAGTGTTAAGCATCCATAATGGCTTTTCTGTAAATGGCACCCTGGGACTGATTAATCCTGTTAGAGCTTTATATCCTTGTTCTGTTCCCAATAAACACTTGCAGGGGAAAAGGGGAGGCCTCAGTTCTCTCTTTCAAAAAGCTGGGACATCATAGGACTGGGTGGAAATTGCATGCTGATAGGCAAACCTTGAGCTTGTCCTCAACCTTTGGAGAAGAAAAGAATAGGAAACTGTGGGATTAATATACAGAAACCACTGATTACCCTGGTTTGTGGATTAGCCTGAATGAGCAAATTGGGCTTGCATCTATTAGCATTCATCTCCTAATGTCTTGTCAGGCAGCTTTT